CCAATGGTTCTTAACCCATAGAATCATTCCTCAATTTAATGGCCCCCGCGGGAGGTTGTTGACGCGCCGTCAAAGAGCATGATCAAACATAAACTCGATATCTTTCCTGGTATTTACCACGCTACCACCAACTTCCATTAGTAGCTCCCTCTCGATGTGTTCATGCACCTCTTTATCCACCATGTTCTCGTTTTAAATGCATTTATCCCAATTGCGTCGAGTCATAATTTTTGTTGTTGTTCTGTACTTTTGTGCGTACAAAAAAACCAAAAAGCCAAAAGAGAACAAAGACGAAAACTTGGAAAAAACAGAAACCATTTTAGCAAACTATGCGTCATAAATTTCCTTCGTATTTCTAGCGGACATTATTTCAAATCTTACCTACGTGCATGTAAGAAATGTATTTACTATCCAGATGCGCATAATTTGTGCACTGCAAGCCGATACCGCCTCCCTGCGATCTTCCATTTCGGTTCTTCCGTGTAGTTACTTGAATCACCATCTGTCACCCTCACCAGCGCCCTTTGCTCTCAACATCTCGTCAGCGGGCATTACCCAACAATCGAAAGCCGACAATTTTCCAAGATCGGGACCATTGGGCCTAGCCTCGAATCCGTGAAATACTTCAGTTCAGTTCAGTTCGGCATGCACATGACGAAATGTATCTTCCAGCCAATCGAGCGTCCAGATTGTTGTGTTGTTGGCGGGTGTTTGTAGCTTCCAACTCTGCGTATTACCGATTCCAGCGATCGACCGTTGGAGTTTCTAGTTGCCTCTGTCCTCACTATACGTTCCCAGCTGGGGTGTTTCCGAAAATAGATAGATGAGACTCAGTGGTCTAGGCCTGGGCCAAGCTGCCATGGGTTAGTATGATTGACCCTGATCCTGACCATTGACACCTGGCGTAATTGTCATAACGTGTAAAATGTTGGCACCTGGTAGAATCACAGAAAATACCTGACAGAAAACACCTTTCTCTAGCATTCATCCACATCTGTAACATCAAACATTACCGGCCAGCGTGCGAGTGTTTCTTAGCTCCTTACTCCTCAGTAGGCTGCTTCTGGGTAGACTGTTCTCCGACACTCATCCAGAGCGGTCTTGAGTGCCACTACAGTACTGCATCTGACCACGTGTTCTGGCAGCTTATTCCACAGTGGGATCACCCCGTTGGTGAAGAACCTTGCCTGGAGTTTCAGCCTACTGTAACTACACTGGAGTCTGGGGTTATGCTCCCCGGTTCCACTTTCCTGGATCGCAGAGAATAGTTCACCGCGTTTGATGACCGACAAACCGTTCATTATTTTGAACGTTTCAATTAAGTCACCCCTCATGCGTCTGCGTCGAAGAGAAAACAAGTTCAAGTCCTTAAGTCTGTCCTCGTAATCCTTGTGGTTCTGACCACATAGCATTCCGGTGGCTAGTCGTTGGACTCTTTCCAGACAATCTATCTCCTTCTGTAAGTATGTTGCCCATGCCTAGACACAATACTCCAGGTGTGGCCGGACAATAGCCTTATACAGTGGGACCAAAACCTGCTGGACATCGTAGCCCTCATCCTAAATAGTTCGCCCCTAACCTTACTGGCTGACACTATACACTGCCTGGAGGTCTTCAATCCCCTAGAGACCACCACCCATAGATCCTTGGCATATATAACCTCCATCAACTGCCCCATCTGATCAAGGATGTCGGCCCTTCTTGCCTCTAGCCGTTGATATTTGGCTGGGTTTAGCGGCAGGGCCCACNCCACTTATGTGACCAGGATTGTATGGCTTCAATGTCTTCATCCAAGTCTGCGCCGGTCACCTTTACGCCGTCAGAAAATAGGTAGCACGGGTTCCACAGCCCCGACTGTAGGTCTTTGATGAAGATGAAGAAGAGTAATGGGTAATGGTGTACGCCACTGATCACATCTTCTAGATCTGTAGTGCACGTGCCAGCTCTTACTCTGAAGGTCCTCCCCCGAAGACGGGAACGAGCAGGAATCGTCAACAACCACAAATAGAGCACTAGCAGGGGTGAGGCCAACACGTGCCTTACTGTCAAAGGAGATCTTGACGCTCGATTGGCCGTGACCATCTCTTGTTCTGCGCAACCTGCCCTGACCAGACCATTTGTTTTAATCTACCAATTCTGGTTGACAGTTGCTTTTCTCGTTTTCAACTGTCACTCATGGCTTGTACTGCAAGGTCCGACGCGTTGCTTCAACAGAAAGCGAAAAAGAAACTATTAAGTTCACAAACGCCTTTGGAGAAGCTTACTCATGCGTGCTTAGCAAGGGGTGCAAACGGAATAGTCGGATTTGGAAGGTATAACTGCATTTGCGAGTTAAGATGGTCAATTACATTTTACCAAATTCAGGCAATTCCGAATCATGGACGATGACGGAAACAAGCAAATTGACTATAGGGAATTTGTCAAAGGTTGCAGGGACTTTGGAGCGGACCTAACAGCGGATGAAGTCCGAGAAATATTTCAGACCATTGATAAAAATAACAGCGGATCCATCGACTTTGAAGAATTTCTGAGAGCTGTTAGAGTAAGATTGTTTACGATCCATCATAAAATTAGCCACCCATGAATAAAACTCGCACAGATTTAGTGCTGAGGGCTTTCCGAAAATTGGATAAAACTGGTGATGGTGTGATCACGGTGAGCTAATTTTATTTGTATTCTCATTCTTTGTCATATCGTTATTATTGACCCATTATTTTTAACCAGCTTCTACAGCTAGTGTGTGATTTAGTTGTCATAAATGTCCCACGTACAATGTCTCAGCATGCACTTACTGACGCATCACAATTGTGATTTAAATCCCACAATCAATCCCAAGTCCACAGATAATCATGTCAACACAACATGAACCTCACTGTGGAGAAAGTCCAGATAATTGCTTATACGAAATTACAGGAACTGCATAATCGTGCTGGTACATCCGCAGTAAAGACCAATAATGAACACTCGTGTTTTTGACTTAACGGTTCTTTCACGTATGGACGTGATTCACCTGATCGTGGTGTTAAAGCTAACCGGTGTTGACGGCCTGCCAGTAAGTCTTCTTACGAGTCTCAAAGTGCGCGCGACCTCCCAGTGTCTCATTGCCCGAGGTAGACAAAAAAGCTCGTGGCAGTTGTAAACGTTTATTGACGAATTGTGGTACTAGATAGTACCGAAACGTGCCGAGGTGACTGTAAACAGTGCAAGCAATAAATACGGTAGCAAAGCGAAAGCGTGTCACACGTGTCTCGTGGGTTTGAACAGGACCTAGCTTATATATACACCTGAGCGGAAAACCGTGCTCAGTAAAACAAGCAGAAGTAAAGAAATATCACAGTTGGAGTCAGAGTTGATTGTGAAGAAAATATGAACGAAAAACGTCCTCGTGGATTGTTCCTTTTCTTCGTGCAATCGTGGTCACTACAGTGTATTCAAAATGTGTACCGTAATCTCTTGGTAAATATCGGCAACGCATCTTCAAAAAAACAAAGCGTTTTGTTGGTTGCACTAGCAGATAACTTGGTCCGCACAGCCGTCCTATTCGGGTCCTATTCAAGTCCCATTAGAGTCCGTTGGCACCCAAGTTGGGACTCCCTCAAAAGGACTCATATGGCACTCCAATCCACAGAGATCAATCGGTTTATTTATAACAAAGAACAATAAGCATGTCCAGCGTTATCATTGTATACCAAATGAGGTAACGTTTAGAAATCATTCTATCTATACTTGTTTCCGTATCGAAACTAACCAATTTGATTGCAGCAGGTGTTTCATCATACACTTAAGACATATCTTAGTTCGTAAAAGCGGCAATTTCCCAAATTTGAAACATACATCGAAAAAGGTAACATGCTGAACTAAGTACAAGTAGCGTCATGGGCAGAAGTTGTGCATTCTGGAATATGGGTTACTTCCAATTCAAAATCAAAACCTACAATTGAGAGAGAACCACGGAACATTTCAATAAAACTACCTACAGTCATTCTATAATTATAGATGTTTCTTGCACAAACGTTCACACAAGTGTTCTTTTGCGTGTACTGTTGGACATTCCCAATTGAGATAAGCACCCATGTGTCGATAAAATGTGTACCTCCTAGCGTTGTGAGTAGCATTTTTCGATTGCGTAAAAAACGTAATTGGCGGTTTCTCGCAACGGGGAAACACTAACAATACTTACTGGAGCGAATTACCGTACAGTCTGACCGTTTCATTATTTATGCTGTGTGCTTGTGGGAATTCTGTGGAATTTTTCAAGATGACATATCTTATTGTTTATGTGCCAATTTACCGATACTCTCATAGTCATTGGTAATAAACAACTATTCCTCGTCCCGGAGCCGCCATTTGGAATTGAAACACCAGTGCCTCTAGGCATGCTTTGAAGTAAGCAAAATGGTCACACGTAGATCAAGATGATGACACAATGCGACTTATACCAAATCCACCCAGGTCGATTAAAACAAACGAAGAAAACATTCCGAATACGTAGTGTTTTTATACTTTTCAGGTATATAAACAATTAGGAATTTTTTGTAATAAATATAATCCTGCCGGAGACGCATTAGGTAACGGTTTACGAAAAACGCCATTTCGAAAGCAAAACACCGGGAAAAGCGCGCTGGTGTTAGCAGGGTCAGTCTGGGCATATAAAACAGTCACTTGCTTGATAAGTTATATTTACAGACAGCCAAAGGGGCACTGTACACCAATTTATTACCATACTTATTACCTAATTATCCGTAGCTCGTTTCCATAGGTACAGAGCTGTGTAATGATTTATCCGTGTCACTTCTTACCTGCTACGATGCGTTAGTTACTTAAACGTTCGTCAGACAGTTATATTTATATATAGTTACAACAAGTGCATAAGCTTTATAAAATTATATGCATATACGTGCAATTTCACAATTTACAACGATGTTTTGTTACCAATGTAATAGAAGTAGCTTACCCTAAATGTTCACTATTGGCGCTCGCTAAAGAGGTGAAAATATTCCAAAATGAAGTGATATAAACTCGGTGTCCGGGTTCTGATCAGAACAGATGTCTCCATAATTTTATAGGCTAATAATATATATCAATGCACCGGGTGAATCTGCGGTGTTGTACTAAACACTCAACTTTAGGTTCTGGCGTAATTGTATGAATACTAAATTTAACTCACATATGAAAAATAGGAATATGGTCATCAATAATTATGGAGAAAAGTACTCATGGAAAGAGATATAAGATTCATTCATGAAAGCAACATCCCGTTCTGCATTTTACCGACTCAACAAACGTAATAGCGAAATTGGTGGAATCAACTACCCATGCAGCATCAGAGTGCCAAAAAGTCCCATGTGAATCAACCCTAGGCCCCATTGGGTTACAATACGTGCAACTTTGAATTCACGAGCGGGTCCAAATTGGTCTAGAATAAGAGTCCTAAATAAAAATATAATACGCCCCCCAGGGGATCGGGAGTGGTAGATTCTGCTCATTAGAGTAATCACTTTCTGTGGTAATTAATAGTACGCTTTTATTACATTCGTTTGTGCTGATTGAAACCTTACTACTATATCCAAAAGAACCACATCACATACCTCAAACCACCTGTTTCTAGACTACATTTGTCCACAAACAACACTGACACATTGATGTTTACTGATTAAGTATTATGTATTATTGCAAACTTGATGAAAACTAAGTAGTTCTTGACAGTGGTGAATAAAATGAAGGTTAATGTGGACCAATGGAATATTTTCCCACGGGAGGAATTCCTGGAGCGAATTGATAATCCATTGTCAAAATTGTTTTAATATGTTCGCATGAGTTTTGACAGTGTATTTGTTTCCAGTTCTAATGTGAATGGAAATTTATTTATTTCTGGCTTACGGCCAATCCAGGTAGATGAGAGAAATTCGATTGCAATCCATCATCAGTTACTGGAGATATATACTTTAACTCATCCCCTAATTCAAAGTTTAGCCATTATTGAGCATAATATTTTCATCTAATTACCCTGGGATTGATAAACCATCTACTTTGGCTCTTTTAAACAAAACTGGGTTGAAAAATAAAATAACCCCCGTTCCAAAACATCTATTTGGATAGACTAATAGCACAAACTGCACAGTTTGGGGTCAACTATTGTTACTAATGCTGCAAGGTGCGTAATGCATGTAATGTAATGCATGGAGGATAGGAAGAATGAAGTGACCTGATGAATGTTCCCTGATTTTGGAAAAATTTCATTTATTTATACAAGCAGGTTTTGATAACTACATTGGTAAGATGGACGATAGTCAGGGAAGCGGGGGAGAGGGTGGGGTGGGAAATCAAGTCCATGGTAGTCTGACTGATTGCATAAGGAACTTTTGTGCACGCAGGACTGGGTTACGTAACTTGATTAGTAGCGCTTCGCTAAACGCCAAAATCTTGGAATTCAGGTTACGTAATAACGGCTTGAACGACATTTGTGGGTCAACGATGTGTCCAGTTGCCATGAGATGTTTCGCGATGGATGATCCTGGATTCCTCTTATCGGTTTGACCTCTGAGACTTTGTTGCGTCATCGATTGTACCAACCATTTGGGAATGTGTTCAGACATCCGCTGTGCCAGGGGCCGATTCGTTCTGCCAATGTAAGTGTCACCGCAACTGCAGGTGAACTGGTAGACGATATGTGAAGCAAAATTTTCGGCTGGTTCTGTTTTCGGTTGTCTAAACGAAATCCTTGGGTATACGGTATCAATCGAAGCTGTGCGGCAGGAAACGTTCGGCACAGTGCCGCCTTGAGCTTTTGACGCACGTCGTTCATTATGTGATCACCTTTAAAGGCAAGTCTGAGGAAGACGCTCTTCTTTGGTACTATGCAGACGAGATCAACCGGTGTCCTTAGTCTGCTGTGCACATCAATAAATTTCTCTGGATAGCCGTTATCCAGTAGCGCCCTTCGCAGAAAGGCCTCCTCCTTTTGGACAGTGACATAGTTTAACCGGGACTAAAATAGGTGTTTCATTGGCCTGTACAGTACTGGCCGATTGTGATACACTGAAATATTTTCTTTATGATCAAATGGAGTTTCATTATATGTATCACTTGTATTAATGCATTAGGTATGGACAATAATTTATATCTTGTCTACTACGATCTAAGTATTTTCTAGACCGCATAATTGTCAATTAAACGTGCCTGACAAAATAGAAAATGACTTTATAACAACGTTGGTGGATTCCATGCCGAAGAGACTCGAAAAGGTCCCAAAGAACAAAGGCAGACCAATCGACTATTAGTTTACATAAACGTTATATCTCAATCATTATCAATGTTAATTTGTTGTAAATAAAAATTGTTTCATTCTCTGAAATCACCTTCTAACTCGTCATGCTCTAGGTCAACCACTACTGACGAAATGGGAGTATCCTGTACATTCTGAACCATTCCATCTGCTGAGTATAAACGAATTAGGAAAATCATTGCTATAAATACTCACCAAGGCTTGTTTATTATTATTTAAAAAAAATTACTCTAGTATAAATGCTGTTGCCTGTACGAACACACAAGTGTTTCACAGGGACCTATTGCTTCAGTTTCGCTTAGACCTGTAAATACAGCAGAGTATCACAGGAACACGTACGAAACTCAAATGGGACATCATATCACACGTTTGTTTAACCGGCTCTTCATGAATATCACCTTCTGCATTCAACTGTATGTATCCGATTATGGTCAAAATCACAAGGGGTCAGGAATGGCACATATCTAAGACCTACGGTTAGTGACTATTTAGTTTGGCTTTCGTTTAAGTAAAAGATGCGAGAATGCGTGCTGTGTTTGGACGTGTACCCTATCATTTGTAAATTCATTTGTAAATTATCCTTCCGGAGGAGAATGTATATGTGTAAAAGTTGGCATGTTCTAACAGCATTATTCAATTGGTTTTGAATAGTTTATCAACAAGAGGGAAATTGATTTCCAATGTTAATCCAAAGCCGAGATTTATGTAATTAGCAGACGCTTCGGTTAAATAAAAGTAATTGATTTCTAGTGGGCAAATAATGATTTACGGATGATTATTTGCAGTCTTCCTATAGCTTTCTTCTCATAAAACTAAATCAACAAATATGTGGAAAAATGATGAATTTAGATAAAGGAACCTCCTTGACATTCCAAAGTCTGTTTCCAGTTTTACCTTGAAATGAAAAATATCTGTTCATGATTCACAAACCATTTTAGTCCACCCGGTTTTGTGACTAATGGAGGTGATACTAGATTGGCTTGAAATGTCAGCTGAAGTTATTTGTTTACTTGATTAAGGGGTGTTACAATTCCCCTCTTTAACGTCACCTAATTGAATAAAACAGTACAATCGCCGTTAATAGGCCTTGATCTAAGAGCAAACGACAGAAATTTCTATTTGAAGAAAAAACTGTTATAAAACGTTTTAAAAGATTTAATATATACATATACACTCATCTATATTGAGAAGGAGAAGACAAGCACTGAGATTTAGGATATATATCTATGAGAACAACTTGAACCAAAACTCACCATTACACTGCTGTCAATGTTTTATTATTGGGTTTCAAGAAGATTTGCAGAAGATAATGATTAAAATTTATCGCTGTTCTTTTCAAATGTTTACTTTTAGGTTGAAGACCTGAAGGGTGTGTATAATTGTAGAAGTCACCCCAAATTTATCAACGGCGAGAAGACAGAGGAAGAGTTATTTTATGAATTCTTGAAAACCTTCCAACCAGAAAATGATTGGGATGAAAAGGTATGTTGATACGTTGACAAATTTTCTGCAGTGACGTAATAAACCATCATAGAACATCAATTTGAAATGAATGAGATTGAGATCAATGGGTAGTTTGCATAAAGTTGTGAAGTGGCTTAAGCAACCGGAAGTTCATTGATTTCGGAGGAATCAGATGGTTAAACTGTGGATGGATATAAATTTAACAAAGCTATCCCAACCAGCCATATTAGTATTCATAATCCTGAACTCTCGTTTTCCCCGAGAGGATTTAAATCTTCATCTGATTTGTTTGATCAAATAATGATGTGGGTTTAAATTTTTGGTCTTTTTGAGATGGATAAATGTCACCGAAGAAGCATAAAAAGTAAACAAAACGTTCAAATCAAGTCAATCTGCAATCATGTATGGAAAAAATTGGTAACAGATATCTTAAAAGTGTGAGAGTGAGCTGAGCGTTGGCTTTCTACCGGAAAATTAAAAGTTTCGGCAACTGACTCAATTTTTCAGTCTATCGATGAACTCCATGCGTTGGTACGGTGATGATACTGGCCATTTCGCAACTAGACAAACAGCGCGATAAATGCTGTGTATTTAAGAAATCGCTTTCCACCCACCCATCCACCCCGTACTTGTATGCTCATTTTCTCATGCTTAAATTATGACAAATCAAAATAACTGTTATTCTCAAGTTGTCCTTAGCAATGTATATTGCAATTATTTTTTCGTGACCACAATGTATCCCATATCGATTCTTCACTTTTCCCTATTCTGTAGAAGTTGTTCCGCGGTTACTGACAGACTAACGGTTATGCTATTTCAGTATGCAATAAACGCCAGAAAGAACCGATCTCTGGGCTTCGCTTGATGATGGAGGTATCGGTATGATGCTGCACTTTTGATACACAGCTCGAACATGATTGAATTTATTTCCGTTCAGCCGTTACGAAAGAGCTTATTACTGACAAATCTTGGGATGGCCTTGATTGAAAAAATCAGTGGGCGTGGTCGCGGTCAATATTTGCGAAAAATGTATCGTTTTACTAGTTTAATCAGAAAAATTGTGCCAGCGAAAGTAGATGTGGGATCCTAGCAGCATGCATAGAGCAGTATGAACAACAATAAGGTGCTGATTCTCACCTGTCGTAACTAACGAGTAGAAAACAGATTAGAGTTCAGCGTGGTGATATGCAAGTTCCTGGAAATTCATAAGAATGTATCCAAGTAGAAGTTATGTCACCTTTGGACCTGATTGTACTGAACGCGTAACGGAGTAGAAGTATTGTCCAGTGATTGTTCCCGGTAGGAAATTATGTAGCTAACCTATTACTTGCCTGTGTGCAAGATGTTGGCTTTCTCTCACCGCTGCGAGCAGCTTCATTTTTCACATGTGCCTAACAGCTGACTACTATTAAGCACTGAGGTAATTATTTGTTAAATGTGATTATCAGAACATTGGTCAACCTCTTACGCCAAATACTGTACAACCAATTAGATGGTGCGTCGAGGAAAAGGGAGTTGCTTGTCTTCGTTTCACTGCTGTCTCATGATTGTTTGTGCAAAGTCTGTTTAAAGCATACTGTTGGAGTAACTGTGGCCAAAATGTGATAATGTTCAAAAGATTCTGGACCAGTCAGATGGCTTGCTACCGTAATAGACGCTTATATTAGTATCAAGACCGAAAGAAGACATATGTCGCGAGATATTAACATTTCGTTTAATCTTCTCGATTGCTGACGTAAAACAAACAAGCACATTAGATTTGTAAATCCTAATGGAGAGACATGTACAGTTAGACAGGGGCGACATATGTCTACTTTCGGTCTTGGTACGATGGATAAAGAGGATCCAGTGTTTCAAGCTTATATTGGTGTAACTTGGTATAGGTGATGCAGTGATATGAGCAAACAACGAACTGCATCAGTGTGAATGCAAAACAGACGGGAATAGGAGATTCGCAGACCAAAAATGTAGGTGTGAATGAACGCACGTGTTTTCAGTTTCAGTTTTACAACCATTAACCATGCACTTTCGTGCGCGGTTTTGGTTGCTGCTTTTGGTTGCCCATTTGGATAAAATAGCGAAATGAAGATTGGAATGTCGAAGCAAATTCAAGCGGAAGATGGGGATAGGGAACGCACGTGTACAGGCACGAAAGCTTCCAGCTGTTCACCTACTTAACAAAATGGAAAACATAGTCCAGGTTACTACAGGCTGTAATGTTTGGCCTTACAAAATCACTATGGAAATCATGACCGTTGCATTTCGCGCGGAACTCAATCAAAATGCTTTTTAAACTTCTAAATAAACGTTACAAACATGGGATTTGCATAGCGTTTATCATGAAATAATTTCGGATTGAGCGTGTTTTCTTATGCGCGAAATACCTCGAGAAAAATTCCACAGTGGGAGATTTTGTACACTGAATCCAGTGTCACAAAAGAGACAGTAGCTGATAACGGATGTGAAAAACCGTTTTCATGATGAAAGAAGAAAAACAGTAGCTCAGTGCCTGGTGCCTCTGAACAATCGAATGGGCTAATCTAAGCTTGATACTCTAAGTAGCTCAGTTTAACTGAATTTTGTCGGTAGTTATCTCGGCTTACTTCGAAAAGGCCTTCTTCTATCACCACTACCAATTGTTATACGGAAAACGAAGTGTGTGCATTTAGTTAGTTTCGACAATTTCATCATCAGGCCTAATATGTGACTTTTTCTCGTTAAGTACAAGTGGCATATTAGCTAAACTCTTGCTAACAGAATCAACCAAACCGGTGTGAGATTTAGCCAAACGCCTTTTACCCTGAAGGGGGCCATACACAGAAACGACTGTTCAAGAATGCCTTCGAGTTAATTAGATTAGAAGCAATCGGCGATTTGATTGAACGATTATGGTCAGGGCCTACCTGAAACGATCATTGAACTATATGTCTACTGTATTATGCGTTCAGTAAAATCAGGTCCAAAGGTGACAGTGGATGTCATAACTTCTATTCGGATACATTATTATGAATTTCCAGAAAACTGAGCACACTCCTCATCCAGCGAACTGGTATACTTCGGCTGATCATACGGATGCTTCGTCCTAAAAATAGGAACCTGAAATTATTTGAATGATATTTCTCTTTTTGGCGACTGATTCGCTAGTCGAATTTATCCAAACAGAATCAATCTGACTTGATTACATGAATTAAAACACATGGGGAAAATTAATGTCACTTTCAGGTTAAAAGTGATTTCCGATTATGATTTTCTACAAACACTTTTCATTAGCCACAAGCATATCTTCCTGACGAAAGTTGAATAAAACGTTTTCGAAAACGGACTTAACTAATGGCTCGTGAACTCGATTTTCGTCTATGTTCATCACCACGAAATAACGGGGATAATAATTCAGAAGAAACAAGAAGAAGAACAAAATATGAGCCAGCAAGTCGGCTGCCAAACGAGTAGGATCACGTGACCATAAATAACGTGACGCTTGTAGATGATGCGAGTAAATAGCAGACTGGTGTTTTGTACTCCTAGTGCTTCACTGAGTGAAATAAACAACAAGTTTGTTAAGCAAGACGAAGTGAACAGGTATAAGATGGAAAAGACTAAGATTTAACATCTCTTCACTGAACGTACTATAGTGAACTTGATGACACGAAAGGGGACTACACTACCATAACGGTGAGTATCATTTTGGCTTCAAACTCACACGGTGTTGAATTCCTACCTTCGATAATTTGGGATTGATTCTTGTAAAGAACGAATTTTATCATTAACTAGGGTATTTTTTACTATCGATTTATCTATCTATCTGCACTGAAATAATTGTTATTTTTGATGAGATCTTGTGCCCCACTGTGCAAATCACCAGTCCAGCAACGTTAAGTGTGCGCCAGATCACCTCTCAGGAAAAGTTAATCTGTGTGCAAAGCTGAAGGCCGAACATATGAGAGAACCGTTCGAACAACACTGCCTAAAACTCGTGAAAAGACCAATATACAAATCAGTATTTTACTATCGCCTGAACTATCACGTGAGACAGTGCCAAATCAAATACTATTGACACTTATTCGCCAACGCATAAATACCATGGCAACAAGGGTAGCAGATAGTCGAAGAGCTTCCAACAACGGTACAATTTGTCCTTTTAACAGTCACCGCCCAAAGTCGTTTCGTTTCATCCTATTTCATGCAGCTGTTCGGATGAATTGGTTCGTAACAATAATTTATTCAGCTATGAAAGAAGTCAATGGATTTGATTTTTGATTAGAAATCTGTTATGTTCCTCCGTCCCACGAAAGTCCAAGATATATAGTTGTATGAAATAAAGTAACTAACCCAGCTTCATCCTGCTACTCCTCCAGTTCATTGGTAATGCTTCCGAAATAAGGAAAATCCGAATGAAAATTTCACAGTCCCTTTTGACAAATTTCAATAGTTTACAGAAATTCACATGCCTTCTTTACATTTTCAATGTTTCACGGAATTTTTTTCGACGGTACTATTCGCATCATTTCAAAGAAATATCATACAACAAAAATATAGAGTACAAGGTTGTTTTCTTAATTTCGTCTTCGGGCATTTCCAGGTGTGTGTATATAAAGGGAAGAAACGAACGTGACTGGTTCATTAAGTTAAATGAGGTAAAAAGATATATCATGAGTTGAAGGTATTCGTGGGAACAGGAATCAGGTTCAAAATTGCGTTTCTGGACTCAAATTCCTGGTCTAGTTTTGCGCCAAGTAATCAATCCTCATTTTGAACAAGAAATGGTGGAATATTTGAAACTCTATGGTGCTCCGAGTGTCTTTATTTTCGAAAAACTGGACCTAACAGAAAACAGGTGAATGGTTGTTTTCACGCTTTCATTTTGAAACTTTCTCTTGTTCACACACACACATTTACAGGTAACCATCGAGGAATTCCTCAACTACTACAGTGGAGTGAGCGCATCCATAGACAATGATGCCTACTTCGACCTCATGATGCGCAATGCATTCAAGCTGTAGAATTGCACCAGCACACTGGTAATTGCGTGCGGGTTTCTCGGTCTATATCATCGTTGTATTCCTTTTGTAAGACACACGCTCGATGCAGCCAGCGTCACTTAGTTTGGCCAACAGCTTTTCATTGCTTTTCCCTCCTCAGCATGTGGCATGTTAGCTTTGATTTTGGTTCATCATCATCATCCTGATACTACTACTGGATATGTTCTGAAACGTAATCTTTTCTTGAATTGATTTCACGCACTTTCCTTGGTTCATCTAGTTACTGCCATACACGGAAGGCGCTAACCTCAAGTTGCGCTCTTGCCAGAGCTCAGATGTAGTGCGGATCCACCGCTCCATCCGAAAATTGAACTCTAAATTCATTGTCCGGTTTATTTAACCAGAAGAAGGGAGACAGGATTGCTTTTCTGTTAATTCCCGTCGAAAGCTTCTCCCAGATCCCGTGGGTATGCACTACTGATGAGCTCTAACGGGAGTAGAACTCGAATCTAATGCTGCTTGATTGTTCAAATGACTGAATGAACTGAGGATCGTGCGTGAAGATGAGTTCTAGTCACTCCAAGCAATATTATCTATCCCACAAAACGGTCAACAAGTAACCTGTTACATCTTACCCATCCCCAGCCTTTGCATTGTCGTGCATGCATTTCCTCAGACCTGACCCCACCCTGATGCATGCGTTTTTATTCGAGTATGTACCATGAATAATTTCCCACTCATCATACCAGTATGCATTCACAATCCTATTCTTTTTTGCTTACGGACATATGCTATCCGATTGCCTAGAATAGATGTCTCAGATGAGAAGAGTTAAAAAAGACGAGATTCAGTATGTCAGTTTGGAAGAGAAAGAAGCAGATAGGACTGATATTTGACTTTCTTTCAGTGAATCCACCTTTAAACGGTCAGAAATAGTCAACGAAAAAACAACAGGAGGGTATGGAGAAGTGCGGAGGCAAGGATGCGACGATAAAAGTTGAGCTCAAAACCGATAAGGATGGAGATCGATAAATTTATTGTCAGAGTGGCAAAAAACGAGTCATCCCCAGTGTGTGTTTTAAGGAGGGTTTTGTATTTATCGACTGTTTAGATTCCACTTCCCGCCCTGGAAGGCATTTGTGGCTCGATGATCAAACAATGAAAGCTATCATTGGTGATACGCATCGATCCGACGTTCAAACCCTGCCCATACATTAGATAACGATTAGCTTCGGAATTGTACGTTTGCATTCCACACCTATTCGATCGAGGGCTTCACTTGGATTGTTACTCCAGGTTTCAGGTTGCCGGCTTCCATTTCCACTAATGTGGCAGACAAACGAGTCGTATACTGTGAAACTACCCAACATGAGGAACAGGAATGGAATGCAACACTTGCTGAAAACCCACAACCGATCTGCATGCTAATGAAATGCTTTTTTTGTACTCATTTCCTCAAAACAAATGTTTGCTTTCAAACAATCCCATATGTGCATGGTAGCCAGCCGAAAACCCCCCGCCCCGTCCCCCTGCAACTCGGGTTTCTAGTCGAGCATCAACCAGGGGACTATTCACATGCATATTCTAACCCAGTGCATCGTTTTCTTCATTCACATTTCAGGTTACCCGAGACGAATTTCTCAGTTATTATTCCGGTTTAAGCGCATCCATTGACAATGACGCGTATTTTGACCTTATCATGCGAAGTGCTTACAAGTTATGATTGTGCTTGTTGCTGTTGTTGTTCACACTGCTTTCCCCATTCACATTCTCGGTCTGTTTTCCGTTTGCCCCCATTTGGCGAACGGTATTTCAGCGATTCGAAAAACCGACCCAAAGTTGTTTGCATGGGAAGAGTACTCCACTGATTTATTTTCACTGTTTCACATACATTCCGGACGACCATATTTCTTTCACGAACACGCAAACAGTGTGTGTGTGAATACGTTAGAATTTTATTTATTTTTTGCCACTCTTCTGGTCTTGTTTTAATGAGAGATTTTGGCCAAAAGGGGCAAACCAATCGTTTGCAGGTAAGTAGTGCCGTGTGTTCCAATCAGACGGGCAGAGAATGAAATGAAGTGATATCAACTAAGACTGAATGGAAACGAAAGTTTCAAATGATGTCGCGGATTCCTAAAAGAGCAGGCGAGGAAAAGATACAAAGACCGTTTCAGTAAACACTGATAGTACGAACTTATCCCCCTAAATTACATTTAATCCCGATCGCACACGAGAATGGACAGGATAGTCCCGATGGATCCTTTCGAATCAGAATCACACTAGGGGAAAATATCAATGTTAAGAACAGTTCAAAGTAAAGTTCGATTTTTCACAATCTCGCATACTTTATTCTATGGGATCTTGATATTTTTAAAACTGCGTCTCAGTTGACTCATTGGCAGAAGGGATAAACTGACTCCACAAAGTGGTAGTACAAGAGGCCTCTCTAATGTAATCTGGCTTTCCAATCGGAGCGCACCTGTAACCCTTGTAAATCCAAGTGCGTATTACCAGGCCACCGCCACCCAACTTTGGTGGTAGGCAACTTTGCTGTCACCCCGTTCTACAACGCCTGACCTGGCGGGGCCTTATGTGGTTCGACACTCAAAATCCCGGGGTTTAGATTGCCGGTTATCATCATTGAAGAGCAGGTCTTCGTGACTATGGGGTTCCATTCAGTCTGCTGTTCATCAAACACTAGTAAGTAATAAAAAAGTAATGTAATGGTGCTGGCTCCTCGGATAGGTTAATCCAACGATCCAGGCATTCCTGTTAGTCGGAGGGACTTTTACGATAACCCTTGAACCAGGTAGTAATTCTCGCGCACCCACTGGAGGGCAGCGATAATCGAATGCAAAGCACATTCTCACCGGAGACTTCATGATTCGGTTACTCCTGACCCGTGCGGTTTGCTGAGGTGTGGCTGCTGCCGCATGCCTATACTTCTTGTAGCCATAGGTAAAATCTGGGTAACCGATAGAGACCAGAAGTGGAATTAGCCCCAGAACAGAATCAAGAAAACAAAATTTGATGATTGAAAAGTAAAAACATAAATCATATTTGGTGTGCTGCTCATACACCCACCGATCCGTGTAACTTGAAAATAGGCATACATAAGTGAGTTGGTCCAAATACCAGTAAATACAAACAGAAATAGAGTTGGTTTAAGCGCTGTCAATTCAAGAGCATGCATTTGAGAACAAATAATTGGAAGAACATCGGGCACACAGTTAACGGAGGAGACAGACATAAAACCGGTAAGGGTTAATAGAATAATCCGTTTCGAGCGTATGCGTGATACTTATTATCTAGCCCTTTGTAGATACCCACCTGCTTCTCGAACCGTTTGAGCACAAAGTTAGATTTCTGACTCCAGTTTGCAGAGCAAGGCAAGTTATTTGCAAACTTTCATCTATTAGAAGGGATATACGTTCAGCGCCTGTGGTGCATCCAACGTGTTCTCACCTCATCAATCTTGCTCTCCTCAAGTGACCAAATATGAAAACAACATGGGTTGGTAATAAAACTGAATGCCGCAGCTTTTTCACTTTGATTCTCAGGTTTAATTCCATTTTCAAAGGAACAAAACCGACCATTCGTGGTGGCAGGTTACTTAAAATCCATAATCATTGGAGTTGTACGTTGTTGGGAGCAGACAGAAGATCGGACACTTAAACGCTTCACGGTGAACAGATGGGCACTGTTTGACCGGCTAGAAGGTTGCTGACGATCAGTTTGGGGTTTTTAGCTGACAACCGGATTTTTGGCGAAACAAGAAGCCAAATGACACAGGCACCTTGATCCAGACGTACGGAATTGCACGATTATTGGTTGTACGAACTGAAAATGATTGATCCTGCGGCCGAAATACAGCTACTGACAGCGCTATGTTGTCCGTCAGATAGCACTTGTTTGTGCAAGAGGTACATCGTGGGAAGAAAAAGTCGATAGGTACAATAAGTAACAATTGTATCACATTCTCAAGATCCTTTTGACTGCTTCATAACACTGACTTATTTTCCTGTAGGAAAAATTCTATTTCAAGTAAAAACAGACGGACAATTTGTTTGAAACCCGATACAGAAGATGCGATCAGTGAATAAAGTTAGCTGCGTGATAAGCTTATAAGCACATCAACCGAAAATCAATTGCAACAGTTATGCAAGGTATCAGTATCAGTACAACGGGAGAACAGTTTGATGTTTTATCAATCGATAAGAAACTTTCGGCGGATCAGATCGAAATAGCGCATTATCTTGATCATCTCACAGAATGATAAGATTTCATAGAACCAACCGCAGAATTTGTTCATGTCTATGTCCTCAGTTTGTTTACACAACAGGTAGAATCCTACCCCCTTCAAAGTGATAGGAATTTGTGGACCCACAGCTATTTGTTGCGTCTCCCCAGGAATTACACATGAAACTAAAGACTCGATCGTGCATGCGACAGAAATATACTCAAAGTGTTTGTATAACACATCAGATTACTTATAAGTAATCAACACACAGAATTCGAAATTATGGGCATGTGAGTGCGAGCTGTTTGAAGAGACAAATTCAATAAAGGAAAACAGGTGTGCGAAGAAAACTTAATATGGTACAAAGAAGGATAACCGGGTGAATAAATCAAGAATTAACAAACCAAAGTACCATAAGAAAAACGAGAGACGGGGATAGAAACGAATGAACAGACAGGAATGGAGATGAGCATACAGAAAGACCAATCAGTAAGTTGCTAGAGTCCTGCATGCGTGTGTGCTGCGGTATGTGAGATGAATGAACGATCAACCGGTCAAGAAGTGGCATCAGAGGGTAACATTTGAATCGCGACAAGAGAAGAGCGGGGAAAAACAAGCGCAAAAACGTGCGGATTAGAATAGAAAATAAAGAACTGGAAATGAATGAGGACTCGGGTGGTGGTCCAGTGGTTTCAAGGAGACAGGGATTAGAAAATCTGTCCGTGCAACAGCTTGAATCACCAACGGACTGAGAGTGTGGGTGATCGAACAACTGAATGAGTTAATAGACCTTTGAACGAGGTTTAAGGAAAGTCATAACACTCATCAGTTGGCAGTTCAAGGAATCGTAAAAAACGATTTCAACTTGTGAATGAGGTAGTTTACATTGGATCATGATGACAAATGAGGGACAGATGTATGTGTGTGCAAGATGTGGAACACTCGGACGGATTTTGGCGAGGACCAAAGGCAACAGACGGTTCCACGAAATGGTTTTATACACAGCTGTTGGTGGTGGTGGTGGTAAGCTGCGAGGGAAGATTATCTGTCAGAAAAAGATGGAACAGAAAGAGTGATTATAGAACAGAAAATTTTACACGAATGAAAACTATGTGATACGTTACCGAAGTGAACTGAGATCGAGGTCAATAGGACGAATCAGTGTAATACTCACCACGGGAACAATACTCATCGAAAGTATTTGGCGCATGAGACACAAATGAATTTTTCCAGGAAAATTTCCGAATCGAGTACGGCAATATGCGCGGCACGACCGATCAGATTGTTTGCTGAACTGCCTAGCGAGTAGTGTATATCGTATCGGACCACAGTGGTTCGGGTCGATTTGATGAGCCGTTGCAATATGTTAGTCACCATTTCCATATAAACAACACCTGAACCGAATGCGAGAAAAACAGACAGATGCAAGACAGTTGAAACAAGGGAGTGCAACTGTAAGACAATATATGATGCGGTGTGAAATCATACAAAAAGGTATTAGTTTGTCATAAGAGACGGCTAAATCATTCCAGCCCCACTGAAATGGTTCGGAGTTTCGGTGGCTATACAAATTTATAAATGTTTCTGTACAATCTCATAAGGAGTTCTACAGAAATCAGAAACCTACGAGAATAAACACAGATTGTGAGTTCTCGCGCGTCAAATGACAATACAGCAAAAGGGACATATCCTACTGTGACGGAAGGTGGTACAAAGAGAGCCCTGGCTGGAGAACGGATCGGGAATAAGGCCCATCCAACCAGATGCGCAGACGTAGCGTCTGGAAGTACTTCGCGAGACAATGTCGACCTAACTCGAAACGAACAAATCGACAACTACAGCTCGACAGATAATCCGCATCCAGCCAGAAAATTATCCACCGAATAACGCAAAATCGGAGCTGCCGAATAGCGTATCTCGCACCACAATCGGGTCAAACCAGTCGGAACTGCACGCGGAAGGAGAGGCAACGTAGGTGCCAAGTGCGGACCGAAGCCAACAGGGATTGATCAACAGGATGACGCATGAATCATCCTGCCGCACGGTAAAGAATTTATTGTATATAATTGAACGCATATACAGTTGTTTTTTAATTGAATCAATGAACGTTTTGCCAGCCGACTCACCTGGTTACAGTATGACCTGAAGACCTATTGTATCAAAAATGAAGCACGGTGTGGAACAGCCATGCCAAAACTAGGTGTATTGGTTTTGTGCTTAGAAGTATACAGATTGTTGGAAAGGGAGAATGGAAGACGATGTGTTTGTGCGGGCATCTCGAAGCGAGGTATCCGGAAAACAGGCGAGTAATGGAACAAGTGGGGACGGCTAATTGATAAGAAGGGATTGTAGTAGCTGTGCAGATTGGGTAAGCAGGGCAGTCAAAACTGTGGTTCATAGTTCGGGAAACAGAAACTGTGAAACTGTACTAAAAGAAAAGGGAGAGTGAAGCAACAATCCGGCAGGGGGCTGGTGGCTGCATTTGGGGAATATGCGTCGAATTACAGATGAGACGTTGAACATGATC